TATATGCGCAAATAAAAGCAATGTACTTGTGAAAGAAAGGAGAAACAAACAACCTATCAATAGTTTTTGGATTCTGATAAAAGATAACGACCTCCTATGTACTCTCTCTCTCTTCTCTCTCTCTTCATACACGTGGAGTCACATGTAGCGTATGTGGATAATTGATAAAGATTCTTTTTGGTGATCTCAACTTTCTTCGATAGAAGGGACATTGTTTAATTTTTATCAACTTTTAAATGGTTGATAAAAAAAATTATATGACATTTGAAGGCATATCTTTTCAAATGTCACTTAATGGTTGGTTAATAGTTTGTTAATGATATGTATTAAATTGATACATTTTGAAAATTTAAGTATTGAATTGTCGCATTTTAAAGTTTGGGGACCAAAGTGGTACTATATCAAAAGTACATGATACTAAGGAATTTTTCCTTTATTTAAATAATCTAAGGGGAGTGATTACTTTTTTTCTTTATCATCATCAGCATTGATTTATGATTAACAAAAATAGTTGTCACTCGAGAGCTTTCTTTAGGGAAAATTCCTGATTAGAACACTGTACTTTGGGCCTAATACCACTTTGTCCCCTAAACTTTAAAATACGACAATTCAGTATCCAAACTTTTAAAACGTTTCAATCCAGTACCTACCATTAATTAGCCCGTTAACCAATTGTTAAGTAGCATTTGAAAAAATACAAATGCCCTTCGAGTGTTATCTATTTTTCCTTATAAATCATTCAAACATTGACAAAAAATGAACAATCCCAAATCCTTTCCTCTTCTATTCAAGAAAGTTGGGGTCACAAGAATGCTCACTTAGACCTGACTCCAACCTTCATGAATAGAAGAGGCAAGGATTTGGGACTACTCATTTTTTATCCATTTTGAATAGATGGTAAAGAGAATTAGATGACACCCGAAGGGTATTTGTGTCTTTTCAAATGACTGGTTAACAAACTGATTAACGATAAATACTGGATTGACATGTTTTTAAAGTTCAGATACTGAATTGTCATGTTTTAAAGTTCGGGGATCAAAGTGGCACTAGGCCCAAAGTACAGGGTACTAATCGGGAATTTTCCCTTTTCTTTATTGCAAGTACATAAATGTATGTTATGCCCTCAAACTGTCAAATAGGAATGTTTGTCCATATCTTCCCATAACAAATAAAATCATACTTTCAAAAAATTTAGACTGAAAAGAAAAACTAGACATGTACACTTAGATGAAAAGAAAAACTTAGTCTAAATACTTGTAAACTCAACTTAGAACTAGACATGTACAAATGAATAATCCCAGGGTACGACGATATCAAACTCAGGTATATTCATTCCATGATTATATGGAAGGGTGTTAAACCATTAACTGTTAAATATTATACCCTAATTAGGGGTGAGCATGGGGCCATTTGGTTTGGTTTCATGGCATAATCTGGAACTTATTGTAAAGGTTAGTTTCAAGGTTAGGTTTGACCTTGGTGGTTTTGGGGTCGATTCTAGAGTCTACCCGTGGAACTTATTCTTTCCTTACTCCCCTCTTAAAAAAAGAAGCAAATGAAACATGTTATTTAAAATCTTGATTTTTAATATATATATATTAAAACTTTTATTATCTCCATTGATTAAATTGAGTAACTTAATATGTAAGTTATCACTATATGGTTCAAAACTTATAATTTAAATTTAAATTTTGTAATATTACCTTTTACATTAATTATTGTATATATTTAAATACTAAAATGAAAACAAATGATCAAATAATTGAATATACATTTGTGCCCCATGGAGTGTGCCTTACGGGCACACCACATTGGGGAGAGAAAATGGGTAGGTTCTACTCAGAATTGAATAGAACCAACATCGAACCGGCCTTGAACCGACCCTACCCAATATGTTATAAGGTAGGGTATAGTTCCAAATTCTTGGAACTGACCTTGGTTGGTCTTGGTGGAACTGACCTAGTTGGAACCTGCCTTGGAACCAAACTTACCTTGAAATACACCCGAGAATACTTTTGGGGATATGAAAATTTGAACCAAAGCATTATATGGTTACAAAGGCCATGGTCTCACTTGACCATTGAGTTATTTAAGTGATTTGATCATTTATTTTTGTTTTAATATTTGAATGTGTACAATAAGTAGTGTAAAATGTAATATTTACAAAATTTAAATGTAACTTATAAGTTTTTAACCAATTTAATCAATAAAGATAATATATAGTTTAAAACTTATAAGTAGTGTAAAATGTAATATTAAATTATCCAATTTAATCAATAAAGATAATATAAGTTTTAAACTATATATCACATTTATTAAAATTCATGTTTTTAAATAACATGCTTTTTCTGTTAAAGGGGAGAGCAAAAATAGTAAAGGTTCCATGAGTAGACCCTAGAACCAACCTCGGAACCACCAAGGCTAGAACCAACCTTGGAACCGACCTTCATAGGGTAGGTTCCGGTTCTAAAAACCTAGAACCGACTGCTATAGGGTAGGTTCCAGGCTCTACCATAGAACTGAACCGAACCGACCCATGCTCACCCCTCCCCAAATGCATATCTCAATGTGCATTGGAAGCATCTCCTAAAGTTCTCATTGGGAGATGTTCCCAATGCCAAGGTTTTTAAAATCGAACCAGATAGGGAACCATTTTGGAGACTGGTTCATGGGTCAAACGATCCGATTGTCCAACCTGAATGAATGGCTCATCTAACAAAAAAAAATTAAAAAATAAAATAATAAACAAAGAAAAAATTGCCAAAACTGTTGTCTAGGTCGACAATTTGGCCACCCAGGTCAGCGGTTCACTAACCAAATCTATGATTTTTTGCCAAAAAGCAATTTTGGGTTGAAATAGATTCCCAATTTTTTCTGGTTCAACTGTTTGATCCAATCCGATTTTGAAAACACTGCCCAACACACAATTGGGATGTGTTTGGGGGGCGTAGATGATACCATGGCCTTTGTAATCATGAATGCTTGGGGTTCAAAACCTCACATCTCCAAAAACACAATTGTGGCTTATTAGGTTAGCAATAAGTCGATAACAAGAATGCCCTAGTGTGACTTCAAAGTTCAAACCCACACCTCCTCCAACATGTGACCGCGAGTTACTGAGTCATCCATCATTCCATCTCTCTCGCCAATACGTCAACTGTGGTGCGGGGTTTGATCGGTTCTCGATTTTTCTGGTCCAACAATTCGGTCCAGACCGGTTTTGAAAACACTACCCAATACACGATTAGGGATGGCAATTTCCCCATCCCGATGGGGTCGGGGAAGGGGATTGAGGTCCCCGCCCCACCCTGACCCTGATTTTATATATATATATATATATATCAAAATATATTTAAAACATTATTTATAATTTAAACTTTTTATTTATTTTTCAAAAAAAAATACTGTTATCTAAAAAAATTTAGGGGATTCAGATCCTTGCGGGGAATCCATCCCCGTTGGGAATCGAGGATGGAGGACAAATTTTATCCCTGACGGGGATCAAGGACGAGGATGGGGGTTAATTTTAAAATTGAGGGCAGGGACAGGGAATTTGATCCCTGCCCTAAACCTGTCTCGTTGCCATTCCTATACACAATTGGGATGTGTTGTGGGGCACATATGTGAATTCCAAATAGCTTAAGTAACTCAATGATCAAGTGAGACCATGACGTTTGTAGTCATGAATGCTTGGGTTCAAAACCTTACATCTCCAAAAATATTTTGGAGTTAATTTTAAACACCCGTTTGGTTCCTAAGCAGATTGCACCAAATCGAACCAAAGTCGGTTTAAGATCTTTCTCAAGAATTTGAAACCAAACTTTACCCTATAACAAATTAGATAAGATTAATTGAAGACCAATTTCATTCGATTTTGGATAAAACCCTCCCATTTACTCACCCCTAACCCTAAAATGCAATTGTGGCTTATTGGATTAGCAATAAGCCGGTAACAAGAATGCCCAAGTGCAACTTCAAAGTTCAAACCCGCACCTCCTCTGGCACGTGACGGCGAGTGACCGAGTCATCCATCATTCCATCTCTCTCGCCAATACGTCAACTTTAATGCAGGGTTTATTCTTTAGAGATCAAATCAGCTCCCCACAACGTCTCCCAGTACATCCCTGCCGTGTATTGGAAACATCTCCAAATGATAATATAAAAAATGATGATATCATCATCAGGAGATGTTTCCTATACAGGACGGGGATGTGCCGAGGGACGTTGTGGGGGGCTGATTTGAACTCTATTCTTCAGTCTTCGGGCTCAACCTCCCAAACTCCCACTCCCTAGTCAAGTTTGATATTAAGATTAGACTTGTTCATGGGCCAGGCCGGGCTCGGGCCGGGCTTTCACTCTGTATTAACTGATTTTTCTAAGGCTTTAGCCCATATTGTTACTACTGCTGAAGCGGCAGAATATATATATATATATATGAGAGAGAGAGAGAGAGATTATAAAGAAAAGAATAAAAAATGTATATATTAAATTATAAATATATATATTTCAATAAATATTATATTATTTATATATTTTATATAATATATAAAATACATATTATATATTTTATAAAATATATAATGTTGAGTCGGGCTGGGACAAGCTTTTTTGACGAATCCCGAGCTCGGCCTGAAACACAGTCGATCTTACTGTGTTGACTATGAGCCTAATTACATGACCAAACCCGATTGAGATGCAGGCCGGGCCATCGGGCTACCCGGCCCATGAACGGTTCTAATTAAAAATATTAAGTCTTTCGAGATCGTGCCTCCGTTGTATATTGGAAATGCGACTTGAGAACATCTCCCGTTCTATATTTGAAATGTAGTGAGTTGGAACGTATTTTGTTGGTAGGTCATGCAAGGTTCTAAATAACATTCGTTATGTAGTGGGAAGAGGTGGGGCGCCTTATAGAGGGGTTGTTGTGAACTACAATTTCTATCAAAGAAAAATGCGAATATAAATTACAATCAAAAGTACCAAAATATATATTTTTTTTCTTTTCCTGTCTTATTTTCAGGTCTTCAAAAAATATATATAATATCACATAATAATAAATAAATAAAGTACCACTAATGGCTAAACATTCGGACTCCAAAGTCTCCACAAACGGGAGTTGAATAACCCCAACACATCCGGTAAAACTTTCCTCGCCAAAGCCTTGTGGTTACTCGCCGGAAGGTGTAATCCCGCCGCCACCATATCTGGCAGCTCTCCGGCCGCGTATTCCGCATCGCCTTCTTCGTAGTCAATTTTGTTCTCCCCTTTCATTTCGTCAGAGTTCTCCGGAGCACGTGCCGCATGAACGTCATTTTTCGGCAATGAATAGCAGTTATTATCCGCCTCTGGCACGGGATTTGGCGGTGGTTCGGGCTCTTCTTTTGGTGCCATTTTCACCTTTTCCGGTTTATCAGCTGGCTTTTCGACGACACGACGACTCATCTTGTCTTTCTTCTTTCCCCTGCCATTCTTCTTTAAGTTTTCTCCGTTGGTTAGATGGTCTTCGAAGGCTTCAATAGCTTGATGTATGAGTTCCCTGTTGGGCGACGAGTCCCACCTGAACCAGTAGCTGGTGTAGCAGTCGAAGCATCCGCAATCGAACAACGGAGGGTTATGGTGGATGTTATTGGGTTTCTTGCATTTGTTCTTTTCTTCTATCAGTGAAGAGGGGTGGGTGGTTTTTATGGACCTGGTTATCATGTAAGCCAGGACCTCACGGTCCTCGAGAGATAGAACGGAAGCCAGAGCTAGAATCGCAGCTGGGAGAAGATTTAACACAGACAGAGCATCTCTACTAGGAGAACAATCGGAAGGAGAGTACGACGAAGGAGAAGGGAATACCTTACCCTTGCTTTTGTGATAGAGATTCTTCATATCTGTTCAATGGAAGTGAAGGGCCCCGTCTTCTTTACTTTGTTCTTTCTTCTCTGATTTCTGTCTTTTCTTAACAAAGAATGTTCCCGGTGGCCGGTGGGGGTGGGGGTTGAACAAAATGAATGGGGAAGCCTGAAGAGGGGACTTATATCTTGATAAGCACGGCACCAAGGCAAAGAGAGAGAGAGAGGTGCCCGACTGCCTGTAAACTTGAATCCAGGTATATAGGAGCAGAGAAAAGAGAAAGGGAGAGTTATGGAGAATTGTGTCTTCTCTTTTGTTTTTGTCTTGTAGCGTTCGCCCTACGCCGAGAGGCTATTGCAATTTGCAAGATTTTGCATTTTGGTATTCTTGGGCCATGAACATAGGTTAGGGACTTAGGGTAGCCGGTTGGGGGAGCTCCAGGGAATCAGTAGTGTCCACTGTTCCAAACTTCCAATCCAACCAAAAGCGGCGTCCACCGAAGACGACCAATGAAACAGAGATGTCGACAACACGAAAAAACCTCAGGATGGTGGAACGTGGAGGTGATGATATAGAAAGTGGGGGCAATCAGAAATGGGCGCCTCACATGGTTGAGACCGGATCTGCTCCTCGGCGCCTCACATGCATATTCACCGTGCATTGAGAATATCTCCGGTGAATAATAATTAATAAGTACGGGAGATGTTCTCATGCATGGTAGGATGGGCTTGTGAGGCGCCAGGTGTGAAGAGCAGATTCGATCTCCTTATAGTTTTTGTTAAAAGGGAAAATTTTCGATTAGCAGGGTTTAGCGTCACTTTGGTATGAGAATTTTAAAGGATAAATTTCTTAAACTATTCTTATGATTTCCCTTAAACGTTAAATATGGACGGAAAAGATAAAATGTCCATTATATCCCTATGCGAAATTACATTTTTATCCCTATTTCTAACTTAACTCCCTCTCAGATATGCTGCCATCGTTATCGTCACCGACGGCGGTCGCTGCAAATACCGAACGGCGGAGGTTCGACGGAAGTCGACGACGAACGGCGCTGGAACCACCGCGGACTTCTATCGAACGACGGTCGTGCCCGTCTGAGAGAGCGTAACAAGCGGCGGGATCTCACCAACTGTCTTCGATCGCTTCAACCAAAACTGCAATCCCTCCTTCTTCGACTATGGCAGTTGTGCCCTCTAGAATTGCAGGCTTGCAGCTAAGCTGCTCGGAACCACCATCGCCTTCTCCATCAAACCGCTTCCCTGCTCTGAAATCAAGTCCACCAGCGGTTTCACGACTCTTGCATTAACAACCCTCTCTTTGTTCTGTTAGAGCTTGTAGAGCGTCGTAAGCGCGTTCTTCCCTCGATTTGATCCATTCAGGAGAAAAGAGACCAACGGCGGGATCGCGCCGCAAGCACCGATTAAAACCATGTTGTCTTCGATTAACGAGAGGTTGAGTAGAGCACATGCGGTGTTCTGCTTCGACACCTCTGTACCGGTTTTCAAAATGTAAACGAGAGGCTTTATGGCTCCGGCATTCATGATGGGGGACTTGTTCCCTTCGTGGAGAGAGAGGTTTAACAAAGCAATTACTGCGTGCTCTTGTGTCCAGGGATCGGTACAACAAAAGAGAGGTATCAATGCTGGAATGACGTCGAATTCACCGATCAGTGCATGGTTTTCGGATCTATTCTTCGCCAAGAGGCGTTCGCTGGCTGAGCGTTTTACGGCAACTGATGGCGATTGAAGACCGTCCACACAGATCTTCACCGCTGGTTCAAGATTTTCTGAAGAAATGTTCTCGAAAATCTCCGATTAGAGATTCTCCCGCTGCAGAAATCCTAACCATGGCTCAGGCTCCAAATCCGAGGATTCGCATTTGTGTTGATCTTCAGACGATGAAAGAGAAGCCAACCTTTGTAGCTCCCCCGCCGAGAGGGATTGTTAAAAACAGGGATAAAAATGTAATCTCGCATAGGGTATAACAAGCATTTTACCTTTTTCGTCCATATTTAATGCTTAAGGGTACACTTAGTCAATTTTCAAACAGTAAGGGTAGAATTAGTCAAATAATTAAACCATAAGGGTAGTTTAAGAAATGTATCCAATTTTAAAATGTGAAAATTCAAAACTCAAATTAGGGGTGTTTAAGGGTCGGGTTGGGTTGGTTTTTTGGGATTTTCCCAACCGACCTGACCTGGTCGGGTTAGCTAAGGTGGGAACCGAAACCGACCCACTGACAGGCCAAACCGACCTGATCGATTTGAGTTGGGTTGGGTCGGTTTCGGTTTTGCTCCTGTACAAAGCTAAATAAAATCTGAATTAGTTGATAATTTGATATTCAAGAGTCCAAGATAAATCTAAATTTAATTCAGGTAAAGAATAAAATTAATAAATTCTTCATGTAAAAACAAGTGTCAATAATGGGCCTTCTAGAGTAAAAAACTAGGTAAATCTAGGTAGGTAAATCAATAAAATAAAAATTTAGAAACCTT